ACCTCTATCCGGTTCTGCAACCTATGCAAGCACTCAACCTGGAACAGAGAATAACCCATACTTGTTTATGTAGGAACTTTCATCACCCATAATTTTAATACATAATGGCAGCAACAGCACACAACGTTAATCGCAGAAAGATGCCCTGTGTCAAAGCCATCAATGCTACAATGGCATGACATGACACTACTTCATGTTTCCACATATCGCAAAATAAGCACAAGGAATGGAAATTTCTCTATATGTTTGCATCCTCATTGCTGTTTATATGATTTATTTAATATTTCAATTTCTTTTCTCAGAAGTAAATCCACAAGAAAGGTAATGTCTCTAACCCCTGCATCGATATATAAGCTACTACATTGTGAAACAAAACGAGTGCAAGAATTTTTAGAGTCCTATGAATTGGAGAACACATAAAGCAATCACAAAAGACAGTCCGTGTCGAAGCCATGCAATACATGACACAATTTTCTATTAAATATGCATTACGCTTAAGACGGTACGGCTTCAACAATCGCTCCTATCAAACTCAAAACAGTTCCCTGTATGTTCCCATAACAATATTGCTTCAGGCTATCATACCAGTTCGTATTTAAAACTTGCAGGGGAGGAGTTCATCATGCAAATTTCAGAATTATCACGTCATAGGGAAAAACAGAGATGTTGCTAACAACCTTCGTCGAAGAGATATAAGCAATAACAGAATGGAATGAGAGCGATTTTTCACCAGATTGGGACTCAAATCGAAGGAGAGGCGTGCATTGGTCTCCCTCCTCTGTGCGTAGACGCACGAAAGCTCAGTCCCGATCCACGCCGTGGAGACGTCCACGACCTCAGCTGCGTGCGCACAAAAAAGGAAGAGGGAAAAATAGATAGCATTCAATTTGTTGGAAAAATTACATATTGACATCATACAGGATCAGAGGCTGCCATTACAAAGTTGCAGACTCACAAAAAAACGGGTAAGAATAGCAGAGTAGAAATCGTATTACACATACTCCTGTCCTGAGGATAATAGTGAACTGTGTGAAACACAATAGCTGTTGCCGCAATAAATTGTGTACAACTAACAGTGCATCAGCCATCTCTAGTTCCATGCAACAGCCCGAGGTCGCCATGGCAGCATCCCATGCACACCCATAAGAACTGTCCCAAAGCTAACTATGATACAAGTGGCATGCTGTTTGCAGCACATTTTAAATTTTAATTTTAATAAGAGAAAAAGAACATGTACATGAGAAGAACTTAGGTGCCAACCCAGAACCAAGGCCAAGATCAATGGTTAGGGGCAGACCCACAAACTTTGCTGCGCAGATTATCGAAATTGGTGGGCTGTCCTGGGAGAATGCCAAAGCTGCCTCCATTGATCTTTTTTCTTAAGAACAGCAGGAACCTGAAATTAGCAGAAATCGACACATAGGCCAGCACAGCGTGAACAATTTAGGCTAAAATAAATTACATTAGAATGAAGGCATGTCAATACACAGCAGGAACCTGAAATCAGCAGAAATAGACACATAGGCCAGCACAGCGTGAACAATTTAAGATAAAATAAATTACATTATTAGAATGAAGGCATGCCAATACAAGATGGGTAAACCACTGGTGGCGCAAAGAAGCCAATAAATAAACTGAAACCAGGCAAGTATGACAACAGTCAAAACTTCCATTGATTCACAAAATTATCTTTACGATTTGGCACAACGGCCTTTCATTGCCATCGAACCAGGGGCGGACCCAGTAAAGGAGATGGGGCACATGTACACCTCGCGAAACAATCGCAGTTATTATGCATAATACATGCACATACACATTTAATTAGATCAGATCCGAATACAAATGGTAAGTTAGGGTTTGGGTGCTTGGTTTCGCACAGCAGGAAGGGAGGCCAAGGGGTGCGCCAGACATGGTGGTGGTGCTCGTCATCGACGAAGGGCGCCAAGAAAACCTGGGCACCTGGTGGAGGCGGCACACGACCGCCGAGTCATCACGAAGAGGGAGATAGAGGGTGAGAGAGCGCATGCTGGGGTTTATGGAAGGCGAAGAAAAGACAGAGACTGCGGCGGGTACAATTCATGCGGTGCTTGGATTACGTTCTGCGGTGCATGATCTAGCCTAGAGGTGTGCGTGCGCGCATGAAGCGGTGTTGGGTACCGGTGCACTACGAAACCGGCACTTTGCCGAAGTGCGGAGGCTTTGTCGAGTGTATTTTATCGGGCACTCGGCAAAGACGGTCTTTGCCGAGTGCCAAATAAAATACACTCGGCAAAAAAAAAAAAACACTCGGCAAAGATGTATTTTGCCGAGTTCTATTTTTCGGCACACGACAAAATGCGTCTTTGCCGAGTGCCTTTTTCCGCTTTTCGGCAAAGATGTATTTTGTCGAGTGCTATTTTTTTTCGACACTGCGGCAAAATGCGTCTTTCTTTGAGTGCCTTTTTCGCTTTTCGGCAAAGATGTATTTTCTTTGAGTGCCTTTGTTTTGGCGCTTCGGCAAAGAGGCATTTTGCCGTGTGCATTTTTTTGCCCCTCGGCAAATCAGTTTTTCAAAGCAATTTTTGAGGCCCTAAATGAATTCAAATGAAAAACTTTTCAACTACAAAGTTGTATAACTTCTCAAGATCTACAAAGTTTATTTTGGTCATTTCTTCATTTGACAAAGCGACAATAACGTTTTTCATAAAATCTACATCTCTCATATCTCTCATATTAGTTTCATGAAAGTAGAAGAGAGATATATAAGATTTGTGAACAATGTTACTACCACTATGCCGGATGAACAAATGACTAAAATAAACTTTGTAGATCTTGAGAAGTTATGAAATTTTGTAGTTGGCAACATTTTGATTTGAAATCATCTTGTCATGCAAAAACGACGTTTGAATTTGAAAATTTTAAAATTTGAATTTTTCAAAAGACCTCAGATGGAAAAACTTCCTACATGAAAATTGTAGATCTCCAAAAGTTATGAAACTATGTAGTTGACAACTTTTTGTTTTGAAATCATCTTATCATGCAAAACTACGTTTGAATCTCTCAAATTTGAAATTCGAATTTTTCAAACGATCTCGGATGGAAAAACTTCCTAAATGAAAATTGTATATCTCGAAAAGTTATGAAACTTTGTAGTTGACCACTTTTTGATTTGAATTCGTTTAGGGCCTCAAACAAGCAATTTACTCTCGGTTTAGTATAATATTTGAGGATAGATAACGGAATCTAGACACAAGTGATGATGTAGTGCACGTGGTAGAGCAGCAGAACCTGTGAGGGAGAGGTCGTGAGTTGAATCCCGTCGGCCGCGTTAGCAATTAATTTAGCAAAAAATGCGTGACTTCGATGGAGACTAAGGTGGTATGTGGCCGGTGGTGGCCTCCCCAAAATTTTGCTATTATTTTTTGGTTTTTCGCATTTTCATTTTTTGCGAGTGCTTTCCGGCAAGACTCGGTAAAGAAGAAATCTTTGCCGTGAAGGGGATATGTCGACAACTCTTTGCCGAAAAGACTCAAGCAAAGCAAAGCTTCGCTGACAAACAAAGACTTTCGGCAAAGGCTTTGCCGAGTGCAAAGCCTTCTTTGCCGAGTGCAATCACGCGTCTCCTGTAGTGGTGAGCGGGTAGGAAAATCGCCGGCGGGTGGGTAAGTTTTTCCATTAAAAAAAACTGCATGCCAAGGATATGCAAGAGACAAACACGCGTATACAATAAAAAGTTTTCTGGATGGGCCCGTTTGTCAGATTAGATGGAAGATTTAGATGCGTTGGATCTGTGATCTAAGGGACAAAGTTTAGGTGGGTAGGAAATATCAGGGTGAGAGGCTATTTCCAATTCCTTCGCTCTTTTATGGTATAAGATAAGATACATGATGATCTTAGAAATATTAGAAAAGTGCAGTTTCAGAATTCTTTTTGGGGTATTCATCACAGCTGATTCCACGTCACAAATCACTTGGCTAAGACATTATAAGCTTATTGCGTTATTGAGCATGCCATGGGGCTTATTGCATGTGTTAATTCAGCTAGAAACTTAGATGGTGTTATGTCAAAATTTAAATGCTTATACGTTAAGCATGTGTGCGGTGTGCCAGAAAGAGAATCAGCAAAACATGAAAAGGGAAATTGGAGTATGTACAACACGATAATGGTCAGTTATACAGCAAGAAATTACACTTTTACTATCTTCTGCGATCAAACAAACTATACAAACAATTGATATTGGTGGGCCTGTTCCCCTCCCCTTGAGTGCCACAGCTATTCCTTGAGCTCTAGCCAACTTGTAAAGTGTGAAAGAACAACATCCATCTATAGACACAGAATGCACACAGCTATTCAGCTGTTACTTACTATTATTATGTGCTCCCTTCCTAATTTGCTATCGTTTTGCCCTTATGGATGCATAGCATAGTACTTATAGGGGAAGTATCATTCATTCAGCATTCACAAGACACACTCGTATGATCAGACACAAAGTAGTGCAATGGGGATAAAGACTGGGCATCATCTAATCACTTACAACACAATATTAAAACTATGAGTGCAGCTGCAACACTAGTCTGAACTCCCACATCAATTTATGCTGCACTGTCTTTCAATTGTAATGGTTTGGAAATTTCAACGAAAACCTAGAGCACATTATTACAGAGGTGTAGGTTTTATTAAATCCATACAGAAATACAGTCACTGTGCAACAAACTAAACTGCCAATTATGCAACTGGCACCAACCTTAAGTAACCAAAAACGGGTTATCTTCTACATGGATTCCACACTGGGGCTAAACAACTGGGAACGAACATGTAACAGCACATTACCAAGTTCTTGCCGTCGACGATGATGCGATTCTGCGACCGAATAACCCGCTTGATGAGCCCGGACTCCCCCTTGTCCTTGCCTCTGATGATCATGACCTGGCAGCCAAAAAGTAAACGGAGAACGTGGAGATCTCGCAACGAGAAGAAAGTAGGACTGAGGAGGGGATGTAGTGGAGAACGAGGGAGATTACGTTGTCGCCGCGCAGGATCTTCCAGTGCCTGATGAGCTTCTCCGCCGCCTTCCACCCCATCTTCCTTGGAGTTAGAGCTCCCTCCTCTCCCCGGCAGGTTTGTTGGGGCGGCGGAGCGAGAGGGTTGGAATATGACGCGCTGTGGTGGCTGATGGCCGGTGGGGCAGGGACGCGGCGGACGGCGGGAGACGAGGGGACAGCGAGTGGCGGCGGCGCTCGGTGCGGGGGGGCTGACGGCGAAGGGCGTGACTGGGCCGGGGTAGTGAATCGGATGAATACGTGGGCCGGAAAGAGGCTTGGACTAGTTGGGAATGGGACACTCCAACGAAACACCTCAAACAAGCAACTGATGGGCCAAGACTATCCTAGATTTGGCCCATTTTTTCCTCTTAAGGCCCACAAGAAGCTGGCCCCTTTCCTCAAAAAAAAAACAAAAAAAAACAAGAAGCTGGCCCCAAATAGTCGCGTGTGCCCTCTCTCGGTGTCTCCGCTGACTCGTTCGTTCGCGCGGTCGCGCCTGGGGTCTCCGGTCTCCGCTCGGCCGCTGCCATCCTCGCTCGCCGTAGCTGCATCGCGTCTCGGCGCCGACGCGCCACCGCCCGGCACGCCCCTTCGTGCGCTCGGTGTCCCGTGCTCCAACACCTCCCCCCACACCCCAATCGCCGTCCGGCCGCCCGCCGCCGCACCCTGCTAGGGTTTCGGCCAGACCCGGGTTCGCCGCCGCCGGTGGATTCGCCTCTCCGGCCCCGGCGCCTCAAGTCGCACCGGCAACCTCGGACCTGATACGCTGCACTTCTACCATCCGCAGGACTGCAGCACGCACAATTCTTCTTCAATCTGCAGGACTGCAGCCGCGCACAAGTCGTAGCTGGTGAGTTACAATTAAACCCCTCTGGTTCTCTCTCAATTCTTAAGTTGTTTTAAACATCTGCTAGACAGCCTAGACTGCTACGTATGCTCAGATACTGTGCCATACTGCCATAATCCATACGTCATTTAATATTTTAATTGAGACCCTTACAATGCCATGTTATGCTACTGTTGTCTGAGAGTTGAGGTATGAAGAACCAATCAATCGTGGAAACATATCCAATAGTGGAAACATATCGTGCTTTTGATCAATAAATATCGAATGCTTTAATACCGAATCTTGAATTTCGGTTATTCCAAATTGCCAAATATTGTACTTGTATATATACTCAATTGTGAGTATGGACTATACTGAATTGCTTATGGTAGAATTGGGTAGGACTACCCTACATTAAAATTAAAATTCTGGTTGCCATCAAGTCCCTGGTCAAAGCTTCCATCGCTCCTCCTCTCCCCTAGGTTTGGTCACAGAGAAAAAAAAAACTAGATTCCAATCCTTGGTTGTGCCATCAAATCCCCAAATCCCCGGTCAAAGCTTCCATTACTCTTCCTTCCGATTCCTTCCTATCCTTATTCTTGCGTGACCATGCTGTGTCAGAGCAGGAGCAGTTAGGGCTGGCAGGGGTTTTTTAGTAATTACTAGATTCAGTTACTCGATTGCGAAACCCTAAAGTCGATTGATTCGCTTTCCCCCATCGACCCCCAAACATGTCCTGCCAAAACCAGTTGCCTGAATTATTTTTGTTTGCGTGTCTCCAAAGGGTCCAAGCTGCCAAGGGGACCACAATAAATACTCTTAGTCATGCAGGTCCCATAAATAAAGGTGGCCTTTACACTATGTAATTAAAAAAATAAGGATATCAAACCAGATATCCATCTTTCATTGGCCAATATTATTTTTCTGGTTGTGTCACAACAAAAAAACTATCCTGTTTTTTCATCAAAACTAGATTTGGTCCAGCTTGATACCTGTATGATGCCAATGCCATTGTAATCTGCTGGCAGATACCATAAATTTTATCATTCCTGTCTTCTATGCAAGGATAAGATTGATTTTAACGTATATGGACAAGATAGTTTAGATACAATCACACAATTAAACTTTCAGCTCTATCTGAGGAGCAACAATAGTTTAGACTCTGTATATGCTGCCATGGTAATTGAGGTTCTCTGTTCATAATATGATTCGATGACTAATAATATATTTAATTACCTATTGGCAAAATATGAGTTATTTCAGAATTCATGGAATAAAATTTTAAGACAATAAGTACCTGGTAACAAGTTAATGTTTTTTCATGTTAGGGCCAAACTTGCAGCAGTATGAAGTTTTTTTTCTGTTGTATTATGTCTCCATGGAGTGACCATTTTTTCATGTTTAATCATTACTATTTTCAACTACTTAGCTTGGGTTCAGATTTTATTTTAAGATTCACACATTATACATTGTTCTCTAATTTTTATTTTTTTCCCTGTTCCTTTTCCTTCCCTTCCATTCAATTAATGGAATGTTGGTACCTTGCAATTGCACCAGCCCACTCAATTGTACTTAAGATAGCATCTTCGTTGATTGTCCTCTTTTGCATACTCTTGTTGACGGTGCTATCATATTCTTGAAAACCTTCCGTGCTGTCCATCTGAGCATTCTTCTATCTCTGCATTTGTCCCTTAACAGTCACTTGCTTTGAGGTTCCATTTTCCATGTGGATACCCATGGCTGAATCCAGTTTGAGATTATTACATACCTTTTGTTCTAGCTGTTTCTGTTGTTTTTCTTTCTATCCATACATTATCACTTTGCTCCCCCAATATTATTGGTTCCTGTGCTCTTTCCAAAGTTTCCTTGGAACTTTGAGCTTTGGAAGATGCCAAGGAGAACAGGAAATGCTGCTTCGACCAAATCAGTTGAATTGATCAAACAAGACCAATTGGAGTTTGATGATCCTGATGAGGTAGATGAAGAGGAAGAAGTTGAGTATGAAGAAATTGAGGAGGAGGTTGAGTATGAAGAGGTAGAGGATGATGATGATAATGAGGAGGAGGGGGAGGAGGATGAGGAGGACGAGGAGGAGGAGGAGGAGGATGAAGAAATTGAAGGTGTGCGTGAAGTTGATGCTAATCATGACAGTGAAATGGTGGTTGATGATCCGAAGGATGAGAATGAAAAAGAGAAGCATGCTGAGCTTCTTGCTCTTCCTCCTCATGGAGCTGAAGTTTATGTTGGGGGGCTCTCCTCTGATGTATCTTCTGAAGATCTCAAACAACTGTTTGAATCTGTTGGAGAAGTTGTGGAAGTGAGTACCGCCTACTTTATCTGGTTTAGCTTTTGCATTTCTTTTCTTTTGCAATTCAGAGTCCCTTTTTTCTGCAGGTGCGAATGCGAGGAAAGGGGGATAACAAGACGTATGCTTTTATTAATTTCAGAACTAAAGAGATGGCTTTAATGGCCATTCGAAAGTTGTGCAATAAAGACCTAAAGGTTTGTTTACACAATTTCACTTGAACTCAAGAGTTGATCTTCATGTTATTCCATGCCAGTGATTTATTGCGTTTGTTTATATTATTTTTTTTTACAAAAAAAGATGGGTATATGTGATAAAACAAGTATTTGATAGCACAAACTTCCCAAGATAGAAGAAGGAAACGGAGTTGAAAATTGTGTTTCTATATATTTTATGTTTAGGTCTGTGGAGGATCAATTTTAGACGTAGCAAAGTTCAATTATATATGATTACACTCGATCCTCTTGCTAATTTCTAAAAAGATTTGCAGCACTTCCACTGTTGAATTTAATTGAATTTAAAACACAGTGCCTTGGGATCAGTTTGAAAAGTAGCAACGTACAAAGGTTATATAATTTACATTTACATCGTTTTGCTATTTTAAAAATTTTGTAGCAGTTCCACTGCCAAGTTTAAAATACAAAACCTTGTGACTATTGCAAACCAGTGTGTTCAGTTATGCTTCCAGAAACCAGAACTGTGGGTGGTGGAAGATTATGTTTTCGGCTATCTAAAATATTTGAGTCTTTTAGCTAAACCTACCCCTAAACAACTTTAGTGTTGTTGTCCATATTATCCAGACCTAGTTTTGCAACCCAAGAACATGAATACATGCTGGTACTTCCTGATTCTTTGTTACACCTTATTAACTCGTATATCTTGTACTTTCATACTAACTAGACCCTGTTATTATGGTTCCTATTACAGGGAAAGAAGATAAAAGTTTCATCCTCTCAGGCTAAGAATAGGCTATTTATTGGGAATGTACCCCGTGATTGGACACCTGATGATTTCAAAACCGCAGTGGAAGAAGTTGGTCCTGGAGTTTTACAAGTTGATCTCATGAAGGTATGAATAAATACTAGGATTGTTCAACAACTTCAGTGTGCATCATTTCAGTTGTTTTACTCTCAAATGTATTTAGGCACCAGGCTCAGGTCGCAATAAGGGTTATGGATTTATTGAATACTACAACCAGGCATGTGCAGAGTATGCTAAGCAGAAGATGTCTACCGCAGAATTCAAACTAGATACAAATGCTCCTACTGTCAGCTGGGCAGATCCTAAGAATGCTAATGATGCTACATCTACTGCACAGGTTCCTTTGAGCACTACATGATGCAATGTTACCTTTTATGTTTCTTCTATTATGTTATTTTATAAGGATGTGCATATTTGTCTTTAGGTTAAATCTCTATATGTCAAAAACCTCCCCAAGACTGTTACTCAAGAGCAGCTGAAAAAGCTGTTTGAGCATATTGGAGAAATTACAAAAGTTGTTATTCCTCCTGCAAAATCTGGGCATGAAAATCGGTACGGTTTTGTTCATTTTAAGGAACGGTCCATGGCTATGAAGGCTCTGAAGAACACTGAGAGATATGAACTTGATGGTGAGTTTCCTTCTCTAACATCCTTCTATAGCTAGTCAATTTTTCTAACATCCTTCATATGTCTAAAAGGTCAGTTTTTGCCACTAACAGGTCAGCTGCTGGATTGTTCACTTGCGAAACCTCCTGCTGACAAGAAGGATGATACTGTATCAGCACCTACTGCAAAAGGAGGTCCATTACTCCCAAGTTATGCCCCACTTGGATATGGACTGGTGGGAGCTTATAATCCACTTGGAAATGGACTGTCAGGTGCTTATAATCCCCTTGGAAATGGACTAGCAGGTGCTTATGGTGTGCTTTCTGCTCGTGCTGCACAGGTACATGACATCTTCTGATATGCACTAGCCAATGCATGAGGAGAAACAATTACAAGAGGTGATATCCTTCTAACTGTTGTGTATTTTTGGCATTATTTGCACTTGTGCAGCCAATGTTGTATGCTCCAGGTGCTGCTCCAGGCTCAACAATGATCCCAATGGTCCTACCAGACGGCCGTCTTGTATATGTGTAAGTATTTTGATCTATTCTACTAGAAAGCTCGTACAACATACATTCCACTGGATTGATGTAAGTCAAATGCCTACTGCATTGGAGTCCATTGTTGTCTTGTCAAGTTACTCGATGACGTCAGTCCACTGAACGAAACACATAGTGGCGTCTTGTTCATAATTAGTTTACAAAGAAGCAGTTGGATCAATGTGCCATCACATCCAGTTATTCTTATTATTTCTTGAATCACGCAGGAGAGCTGCGTGGTGTCATTTCATTAAGAAGAATAAATACTACACGAAGGAGGGGCAAGGAGGGGCGCGGGGGTGGGGGGGTGGGGGGGTGTTACTCCCTCCAAAAAACACCCCACCAAAGCAGTAACTGTGAGAGTGTGTCCCTGTCAAAAGTATTGTTTCTGTGTTAAAACTTAAAAAAGGCACGTAATCTATTTAGTATCTGTAGCTCACAAACAGAAGGGCGGGCCTGGTGCAAGCGGTAGAGTCTTACCGCCTGTGACCGGAAGGTCCCGGGTTCGAGTCGCGGTCTCCTCGCATTGCACAGGCAAGGGTAAGGCTTGCCACTGACACCCTTCCCCAGACCCCGCACAGAGTGGGAGCTCTCTGCACTGGGTACGCCCTTTATCTGTAGCTCACAAACACAAATTTGACAATGGACAGGCCTGGAGTATTTATATGAAAAGTGAATCTATTGTAGAAGATAGTTATTTTCTGATTTTTTATGGTCACAATAGTGTGGTGAAATTTAGATGGTTATTTGTACAGTACCTTAGTTTAGTTTTGTTTTTTTCTTATATATCTTAGATCCTATAAGGGTAGTCTGCGCAGCACCTTAGTTGAGTTTTTGTTTCTTATAATCTTAGACCCTAAGGGCAGTCCTCTGAACTGTTGCAGTGATGCTTCCATGTCAACTCATATTCTCCTTGGTGTTTTGCAGACCACAGACTGCAGGGCGGCAGCCTGTGCATGTGACTTCGCCTCTACCACAGCAGGGTGGTCGCCGATTCGGCGGTAGTGGCAGTAGCAGCGGCGGCGGCGGATCCAGCTCTGGCGGAAAGCGACAGAGGGGAGAGGACCGTGGTAGTAACAGCAACAACAGCCACAGGGGCCGGCACCGTCCGTATTGATGTTTGCAATGCCGCTGATTAGCAGTTAGGAAGTTAGAACCTAGCAGTTAGCATATTTGTCGGAGTACCATGCTGCAAACTGTACTTTCAGTTATTTGTTTTTTGGTGTGCCTCGTAACAAACCTGCCGTAATAAGAATGATAGCACCGCAAGGGGCAGATGTTAGTGGTTAGTCTATACATTGGTCAAGCTTGAAGAATAAACTACGATGTGTTCTTGGCTAGACTCCAGATGGTGTCTGTTTGTGCACCCTTTGGGGTGTTCAGCTTGAGTAATAATAGCCTGTTTGGTTGCCTTCTCTTCCTCGCCTGGCTCGCATGTATGATGCAGGCCCAAGGCGTGGTGCAGGCAACCAAATGCGCGCCTATGCAAATGCAGGGATCCAAACACGCTATGACTGAATGATGGTGGATACTTGAGATGTGTTGACTGATCTTTGAGATATATTGACTGATCTGGTGACCACATCTTATAGATGAATGCACCACATCTTATAGATGAATGAGAGCTGAAGAATTCTATAGATGAATGCCAGTTGAGCTGAAGAATTCTATAGATGAACAGTCCTGTCCTCCTCGCTCTGCTCAGCGGCATCTGCGCTCGTCGCCCCGCCCCAAGCCCCGCGCGCAAACGGCGCCGCTCGTCACCGTGCGGTCTGCCATTCCGAGGCCATGGCCCATGGATGGACGGACCTCCCATGCTGACTTCCCTATATTTGAAGGGGAAAAAAAAAGGAAAAGAAAAAACAGTACAGGGCTCAACGGCGAGTGCACAGCCGCTCAGGTCCCAGGGCACCGCACCGTCGCTAAACCAACCCGCGCGCACACGCCGCCGCCGCCGTCTCCACCGCCAACCCCGCCGGCCACCATTCCAGTTCCCACCCTCGCACACTCCACGACGCGGCACGCGTTACCCCGCCAGGTCCACACGAGCTGCTCTGCTTCACACAGACCCGGAGGCCGACGCAGGGCCATCCCTGGCACTCCGTGCGCGCGCCCCGTCGCCATGTCTCGCCTCGTGAGCGACGCACACCGCCGGTGCTTCGAACTGGAGCGCGTCATAGCCAGCCGCGCCCGCTCGGGGCACCTCGGCCTCGACGACGTGCTCAAGCTATTTGATGAATTGCTTCCGCACGCCAGGCCTGCCTCGGTTACCGCCTTCAACCAGATTCTCACCGCTGTCTCTCGTGCCTCGGGCCGGCGCTCCTCCTCCACCTCAGACTCAGAGCTGGTCGTCTCTCTCTTCAACCGGATGATCCGTGAATGCTCCACCAAGGTGACTCCCAACCTTTGCACCTACAGCATCCTCATCGGCTGTTTCTGCCGCATGGGCCACCTGGAGCATGGCTTCACCGCCTTTGGTCTCATCCTTAAGACGGGCTGGAGGGTGAATGGCATAGTCATCAATCAACTGCTCAAAGGTCTCTGTGACGAAAAGAGGGTGAGTGAGGCCATGGATGTTTTGCTCCAACGAATGCCTGAGCATGGTTGCACACCGAATGTGGTTTCATACAACATACTCCTCAAGGGTTTCTGCAATGAAAAGAAAGCTGAGGAGGCACTTGAGCTGCTGTGTATGATGGCTAATGATCAAGGTAGAAGCTGCCCGCCAAATGTGGTGTCCTACAGCACCGTGATCAACGGTCTCTTTCTGGGGGTCCAGTGGACAGAGCTTACAACCTGTTTCTTGAAATGATGGATCGGGGGATTCTACCTGATGTTGTGACATACACCACAGTAATTGATGGCCTATGTAAAGCTCAAGTGGTTGATAAGGCTGAAGGTGTCTTTCAGCAGATGATTGATAAAGGTGTTAAGCCAGACAATGGCACATATAACTGTCTGATCCATGGATACCTCTCTATAGGACACTGGAAAGAGGTGGTTCGACTGCTCAAAGAAATGTCTACACATGGTATTTACCCTGAATGTGTTATGGTTTGCTGCTGGACTATCTATGCAAGAATGGAAAATGCAGAGAAGCTAGAATTTTTTTTGATTCTATGATTAGGAAGGGCATAAAACCTGATGTAGCAATCTATGGCATTATGCTTCATGGATATGCTACCAAAGGTGCTCTTTCTGAAATGCATGATGTCCTAAATTTAATGGTAGCAAATGGTATTTCACCTAATCATCACATCTTCAACATAGTGTTCTGTGCATATGCTAAATGTGGTATGATAGATAAGGCAATGGATATTTTTAACAAAATGAGGCAACATGGGTTGAGTCCTAATGCAGTAAGCTACGGAGCACTAATAGATGTACTATGCAAGTTAGGCAGGGTGGATGACACTGAGGTCAAATTCGATCAGATGATCAATGAAGGAGTGACTCCTAACATCGTTGTTTTGAGCTCCCTAGTTTATGGACTGTGCACCGTTAACAAATGGGAGAAGGCTGAGGAATTATTTTTTGAAATGTTGGATCAAGGAATCCGTCCTAATGTGGTGTTCTTAAACACATTAATTTGTAACTTATGCAATGTAGGACGGGTTGTGGAAGCCCAAAGGCTCATTGACTTGATGGAACATGTAGGCGTAAGGCCGAATGCTTTCTCATATAATCCGTTAATATATGGTTACTGCTTAGTTGGAAGGATGGATGAAGCCAAGAAGGTAATTGATGGTATGGTCTCAACTGGCATGTCACCTAATGAAGTTACTTATAATACTTTGCTTAATGGCTACTGTAAAGCTGACAGGATAGACGATGCATATAGTGTTTTCTGAGAAATGTTGAGCAACGGCATTACAACAGGAGTTGTGACTTACAGTACTATACTACATGGTCTGTTTCTAAATGGGAGATTTTCTGAAGCAAAGGAACTCTATCTCAATATGATGAAAAGTGGAAAAGAGTGGGACATTCACACATACAGCATAATTCTAAATGGTCTTTGCAAAAGTAATTGTGTTGATGAAGCATTCAAAATGTTTCAGAGCCTGTGTTCTAAGGATCTTCAACTTGACATTATTACTTTCAACATTATGATTGGTGCTTTGCTCAAAGGTGGCAGAAAGGAAGATGCCATGGATTTGTTCGCTGCTATCCCTGCTAATGGTTTGGTTCCAGATTACCGCTTAGTTGTAGAAAATCTCATAGAAGAAGGGTCACTAGAGGAGTTTGATAGTCTGTTTTCGGCGATGGAAAACAGTGGCTGTGTTCCAAACTCACAAATGCTAAATTCTTTAGTTAGGAGGTTGTTGCATAGAGGTGACATAAGCAGGGCTGGGGCTTACCTCTACAAACTTGATGAGAAGAATTTCTCACTTGAGGCTTCCACTACTTCTGTGCTTATATCACTTTTCTCGAGGGAGGAATATCAGCACCAAGCAAAGTCCCTGCCTGAAAGGTACCGCTTCGTCAATGGTGCCAACAAATGAGTGTTGACAAGAAAAATGAATTCACTTTTCCACTGCACTGATCATCTTTATGTGACCATCTAAATTTTTTAGAGTGACTATTCTGTCTTGTGCTCTAATTTTTGGTCATGCTCTGTATTCTTTGAATGATGAAATTCTCTAGGGAAATGCTCTCTTGTTAGTGCACTTCAGCATCAAGTTTATCAACAGGTAAAGTAATCCTGTGGACAATCCTAGTTAGCCTTACAGCAGGAATCTGTTTACAAATTAATGAGTAACGCTGTACTCTACCTTTTATTGCATCATTTGTTAATAAACCCTGCACTCCCAGCCATAAATAAATCATGTGTACCTCTTGATCATTGATCCGATGCCTATAATTTAAGCTTGTGTATCTTCCCCCACTGTTAGCGGTGGAAAATGCTGCTTATGTTTCCTCACACAATTTATGTTGACAGCAACAGTTCTATATTGCTTTATTGTTCTGATTGGTTACCTATAAGAGGCTTCCCTAGTATTTCCACTGACAGTACCTGCCCTGCTTTATTGTTGATAATGAATGCAACTGTGCATAAGGCAGATCTTTGCAGTTCTTTGGAAATGAGGTTAGAATTTTTTCCCTGCCCTCTGCAATCTGGTCACCTTTGCAGTATCATTCTCCTAAGGAAGCCTACAAATAAGCATTATGTTAAATGACTTGTATCCTCAACTGTACCCATACATCTTCATGTGACATGTAATATCTGTCTCCTGCACTACTTTACTGACCATGTAGTTAAGAGGCCTCTTTCAGATGCTTGCTTATCCACACCATCCAGTAAGTTACCAAAACTCTTTTGGTTTACTAATTTACAATTGTATATGTATGCAACACATACAGGCAGTTTGGATTTGCACACTTGCAAAACACATGAACCCCTAACATTGGGGATGCAGCAGGGGGCTCTACATATTTCTAGCACACACCCATTGCTACTCCTTCTATTCTTGTGAGTAGCATTTTTTTTTCAGTCATCTATGGTAACAAGATGTCCTGTCGAAGTTTGATGCTTTTCGGAAAGTAGCATGAGGCTGCTCGGGTCTATGTTGACATAGCATTATTACTGTATCCTAGTGTTCTTGCTTTCATCAGGCTGAATCTTTAAAAATGTAAATTGCTGCATGTTAAACAGTTTGAACTAAGATGCACTTCAGTAGTCCAATTGTAACAAACCGAATACATGGTCTGGTACTAGTAGCATGGTTAATCACAATACATGGTCTGTAATTCAAAAATCAACACATGGTCTGGTACTGGTAGTTTGGTTAATCAGCAACATATTTCCAATTTTAACCGAATTCTCCATGAGGTTTGTTCCTCCGATGCTGTTTTGATGCTGAATTCTGAAACAGCATGGACACTGAGCTCCTCCCATGCCACTGTGGCAAAAAGTTGGGAGTTGGGGCCAATCCAAACTGGAGCTCATTTGTCTGATGTTGGGAGTTGCTGCCCTCAGCTGAAGCAGGCGAATACCACCAGCTCCTGAGCTGCTCCATCTAGAAAAGAGGCAGCGGAAGCCTCCTCTGGTTCTCACTGGCTTCATATTGAAGCTGGCCACCGGCAACAGGAAGGGAGGTCCCGGGTCAGAGCTCACAAGTCAACCGTTGGGTCGCCTCACCTGGGTCACCTCTCAATCTGGTGGCAAAATTTGGATCCAAGGACTACGAGTACCCGGTCACAGCATGGACTCTGGTCAATACTTTGTTTCTCAGAGAACTCCCTAATCCAATATTTTGTAGAAGCCTCCTCGTGATTAACATTTATTTCATTTTGCGACCAATATTTGCAGGAAAAAAAACCCCTTTAACTGACTGCTCCTGTCTTGTCTACACAAGTGAAGTTCCATTGATCCAGAAAGATTGTCTGGTTTGCTTTAACATCTGTTCACAAATTATAATAATATAAGACCTGTAACTGAATGACTTTCAGGTTGCCAAAATTCATTGTGCTTCCAGTAGAGGCTTGCTTTTTCCTCTCTGCCTTATGAGATTCAGTAGTTGAAAGTGGATTACATTGTGGCACAAGGCTGTTTAATTTGTTCTAATCTAAAAAAAATTGAATTGTCAAAGTCATGCCACTGGTTGGTTTAGGAAGAGAAATTTCGATATTTGAAGGACAGAAATTGATTCAGGTCTTAAGGTTGAATCATGGACGAGAGCCTCTTGGGTTTGGCACCATAACACCAAATAAATTATGGTCATTAAGCTTATTCTTTGATTAGTTTGCGTAGTCATTTTCAACTAGAGGCCATGCTTTGCTTTATGTGTTGCTTCCTCATATGTTAAATCTGTAGTAGTATTTTTATACAGGTTAAGTTTGATTCACCGTTCTTTCTATTTTGTGTGCATGAAGTATAAGATACTATATTCCTAAAAGTTGCTTCAGAACTGTGAAGGTTGCATGCTATGCTAAGGTCATTGGGATTAAGTAGCATAAATTGCATGCCAATTTCTTGTAAAGGATATGGTGATGCATTTGTTTTTTCTTCTTTGATATAATTTTCAAGACATACATGACTCAGGCAACCTGTAAAGTGCTGCATCAAGCCTCTGATTCTACAATTTACATGTACCTCAGATATTGTCAAGTTGATTGTTCCCCGGATTGAAAACAAAGGCTGTAGCACCCTCTTGGGACATTTATACCCTTCTTCGTGTCTGTCAAGGGCGTTGGCACCCAAGGTTGTTGGTCCCTGGCTCCTTAGTTCATAGCCAGGGGCCGGTAATGGTGCCAGGGCTGTTACCTAGTCGACCAGAGAAGAAGGGGGTGAGATTGAGAGAGAAGAGGTAGATTAGGAAAGTAATTGTTCTTGCTTCTTGATTCAAATGAGTCCTGGATACATATAGGAGTCGGCAGGCTCCTTGGTTCTAATTCCTGCATTAACTCTAACCTCTCAACTACTTCTTAATTGCTCAGACAACCAGCCACCTAAACCACCTCGGGCTCCTGTTGTTAGAAATCCCATTGCATTTCCTACTCTTTGTTTATTATTAATTTTCAGGCATAATTCATTCATGATACAAGCTCCAACATGATTGGAGTTACTAGCCCATTTGAAAACTGGCCTGTGCCTGCTATAACAAGATGTGCAAAATAAATGTCCACTGGAACGAGAAATGTGGCTGATATGGGAGAAGTAGAGATCAGCCCCATTGTTGTACTCTGATATCTTCTTGCTGCATATTCTTTTTTTAGTATTTGGAAGCTATGCTGATGCTTTGACAAGGCATGATATACAAGAGTGTCTGCTATTCAAGTAGCTTCTCTTATTTCACCTCTCTGGTCTCTTAAGCTGTTGCAGAAACATTACGACCAAGACGAAATTGACTCGATAGTGTACTCAAACAAAACGGTGGCCAATGTTTAACTTCTCTTACAATCATGCAGGACATGGTAACACGACCGACGAGGGAACAAGGGTTATTGACAAGTTGGGCAAAGAAGAAGCCGTGAAGACGATGCATTCCCAGGAAAATCATCTCAAGGAGCTCCAAGCTACCATTACAGACTTAAAAGCTGAAATCACCGAGCTCAAGATTGCATTGGAATCAGCTCGTTCTCAAGGAAAGGTGTAGATGAGAGGGGTCTTGTGTTTGAATCGGTTTGGTTGTTTAAGGAATTGTAGTTGTTAGTTGTCGATGGTGTCAGTAATTTACTAATATATGCGTATCGCTAAAATAAAGATGGTTCACCCTGTCAAGGTTATTATGTATGATCTTTGTACTGACTAGGTAGGTGATGGTCCATGCGTTACAATGGTCATACAAATTGATTGTGATCACTGGAGTTTGTGTGAACAGAGATGAGATCTGTATAGATCTTCAGTCGACATATTCAGTGTTCATTCGATTCAGTGACGATCTTTTCTACTGGAGATTTGTTTATTTTTAGCAACCTTAGTTTTGGTACAAGCGTGTAAGTATGTTGGTGTTGAGACTTGAGAAGAATAGCTTCCTTCGGCCTTTCTGCAAGTCTTTTGCTATTCAGTCCGTGTTCTCATTTGGAAGACATAAGCCAGCACAAGGCATTATTTATTTATTAAATTAACTGGAAAATGTGAGACTTTACTGGATTGAGCCTTTGTGAACTTATCTGGTTTGGCTAGTTGCCTATATTATACTAGTTGGTCCTAATGGCACACAAGAATGAGTCGATAAGAAATTAGAGTGCATCAAATCTATGTGATGGCTTCATGTAAGCATGACTGTTACTGTGGTGCTGACATAACATTCAGACCGGACGGACACATAGCCAATAAACCCAGGGGCCAAAATTAATCTCATCTCATATATAATATAGTATATGAAAGGAATTGACAGAAATTGGATCTCGAAGTTTCTATCATCGTCAGATTCAATACTTTACCTAGTCATCAAATTCCCAATTTACAATCTCATTGATTCGGAGGGAAGGGCTCGCTGTTGGCGGCCTTGTCCAGTCCAGGCCAGAAGCCCATGGCCTGCTGTTGAATCGGCATCCCGTCCCGTCCCGTTAGCATCCGTACGTATAGGAGAATCCATCTAAATCACACACAATCCAAGCCAAGCTAGCTTCATGATTCGATTCTTCCAGTGACGAATGGAGATTTACTAATTGATCATAATGCGTTCTTGGACGGGTAGCACCGTAGCAGTAGCAGCGAGAGACAGGCTGGATGTTGTATCGACTTGGACTGGAGCATTGTTTTAGGAGTCCGGCGGTTTTGGCAGGTGATCGATCAGTCAGTGCTGCTTCTGCTTTGCATTGCTTGCCACATTTGGAGCCTCGGTGATCGCGACAGCTCTGCGACGGCTACCAAGTTCTCTTTTATATGTGCTTGTGCTCATCCCGTCCATTGCTGCATGCAGCCTGCTCAACGACCATGTGAGGTCTAGTTGGAACTTGGAAGTTCCCTCTTCCTTTGCTGCTATCTCAATGAACATAGACAGTTGATCACAGTCCAGTCTTGTTCAGTGACCGCTGTTGCCTTCTCGGCTTCACCCCTGCCACAAGTAATATATGTCGCTGCTCTTGGTCGCTTGGCACAGGCTGTGGTAGTGGTCTGCCAAAGACCAAGGAAAATATGAATCAACTACAATACAGTTTAAATGGCTCTTAAAGATCTAAGATTAAGAAACAAGAAGTAAACAAAAGTTATGGAAGGATGACCACCTCATTTCACAGACCATTGGCCCATAGGAAATTTCACAGAACATCTTCATTCTACAACAGAGATCCTCTTTTTCATTTGAATATACTCCAGGTCTGTGTCTGCTGTCAAATTTAAAAGCTGCAAACATTAAATAAATTACATTCGTTTTAACACTAGACAAGACTCTTGACAATTGTGCCCACTTCTACATCTCTCAGTTACAACTTCTAAGTTAGATCATATTAGCCTTCCAATAAACCATTTATTCTCTTGATGCCAGAGCCTAGTACGAACCATATACTAGACAACTCAACTCTTATTTAGACTTCACTGTTAACCATTCAACCGTGCCCCCTCCACTTTTATCCGGGCTTGGGACCGGCATTGGCAGTGTTAGGCAACCCCCCTAATGGTAAACAAGAAAATAAATACAAACAGCTACCAAGCCCACAGACAGCTGAAGCAAATGCAGTCATCATCAGGATAATATGCCTGGAACCAAAGAAGCACAATAAGTGAAATTCATTTAACAGTACTCAAGTTTGCCATCAGGTGACTCGATATGATCATCGCCACACCAAAGTATGGAAGCACTCATTAAAATCATCATTACAAAAATAAAACCAACAGCAATACAGCATATTGACATCACAGTTCTATTAGCAGAAGGTAAGAGCATTATATTACGCGAGACACTCCATGAGCACACTAGTTAAATGATGTCTATGCAGACACGACAAAAACCTTTCAAAAGTTACAAACTCTGCAGATAGAACAATTCTTTGTACATAAATAGAAATGCAGCAATCACAAATATACTTCAAAGCAACAAAACCATCCCTAATTGCTGACACCAACTTGATTCCTATCGTAAGTACAGTTAAGACCACAATTTTATCTTTAGCTTGGAAGGGAAAGAATTAACATATTATATAATAGTAGGAAGAACAAATTAGCATATACCCTTGCTGGTTTCTAAGCTCCATGGATTCATGCGGTTTCCAATCAGAGGGAACTTTTTATACAAGTTTAGAAATAATACCAAAAGCATATGAGCATGTAACATAGCAGGATGTTTTGGCTTCACTTAATTATCAAGACCATGCACACTAGATTATCAAAGCTTTCGAAGTAGCATCTATAGAAAAATAACCTAATTGCTATCTATCACAGTATATTATCTATTTTATTGCCTACCATAGATGAGTTCTAAAAATGAAATCATAGAAACCAAACTAATAGAAACCATGCACCCTAGATTATCACAAAATATTAGATTAACCTTGTTATTCAAGGTTAAAAGAATAAAATAAAGGACAGAACACAAATGTTGATTAGGCACATCGAGCTAAACACAAATGTTGATTAGGCACATCAAGCTAAACACCAGAAACCACAAGTAATACTACGTACCATAAGAGTTTAGTTAAGACTCCAAAACTCATGTATCAACAAAATAAAATAAACAGACATTGATTACTTTGTTGTATGTTTTCAAAATAAATCATATGTGATCAGTACTGTCAGAAAGGGTGACAGGATGCAACTACACATATATATGGCAAAATCTAGCCCTGGTTTAGCTTACTCAAAAAGAAGACTGAAGAGCCTAGTACCCGAGTGAGGATGATAATTGAACATGCAAGACAATAGAATTGAGAGAACACAGCAAAGGACATGCTTCTACAACGACTTCCACATTACCAGCAGCTCCTGAATGATTTACGATCATAACTAGTATGCAACATAAATTACAGCACAGTACAAAAGTCAAAGACCCATTGGCACTAGAATAAACATACCCATTGGCACTAGAATAAACATACAAAGAAATGGCGTAATAACATAAGCCAAGCAACGAAAGAAGAATTCTAACTCTAAGGAGAACAAAACCACGTTGCATTAAGTCAAGGATGCACTGAAATAATAAAACACAAGCTCCACACCATGTAGATATTGAAATATAAGGCTTCATATTACGTTCAACGAACACAAAGAATATGGAGCTAGGTCTCTACAGCATGTAGATGCAGAAAAAAGAGGGACCACGTTAATTCAGTTAAATGAACAGAAAGACAAGGGAACTAGGTCTCTACAGCATGTAGATACAGAAAAAAGAGGGACCACATAACTTCAGTTCAATGAACAGAAAGATGGAACTAGATCAGCATAACAGGCTGAGAACTAAAGCAAACTTCAACTGTGAAGCTGTACCAACATAACATGTTCAATAAACATTGTGCGCGCTTGTTAGAGACAAGGCTTGAAAACTATGACCTTTACGGGCTAGAGAGTAACTAAAAAGGCGCCAACTAAAAAATAGTACACATTCAGACGGTATTAAAACCAAAAGTCTGCAGATGACATTGACAGCAAAAACAGTGGGAGACTGTACAAACACATTTAAAATTTAATCTGTTGCAGACTAGAATCTGAAATAAAACTGCGCCAGTCTATAAGAATGAAGCAGCAAGTTTATGCGGTACCAAAATAAACCTAGTATTCACATGGATTCAAGATTACGACATCCAAGCGATTAGAATGAGAAAAAACAATATATATGCAGTTACTGCTATAATTCGATTGATCCATAGAACACGTCACAAGTAAATTGTAATAAGCAGGATCATGCCAATTTCTATCCATATCATATAATAATTACAGCTCCAGGCAGATATTTTCAACACTTTAATTACTGTAGCTGCACTTAATAAAGAACACAATAAAGATCATGATATCCCAAATTAGGATTAACAAGCATAGGAGTCCAGACTAATTTTATATCCAGTCATATAAGTTGCAATAATGTTTCTGCACAACATCCATATTAACTAAATAATGCTTCTACACAACATCCATATTAACTAAAGCTCCTGAATGCTTACAATCAGAACTAGCTGGCCACATAAATTACAGGACCCTACAGAAGTTAAAGACTCATTTAACATCGGAATGAACATACCCATTTGACATCGGAATGAACATACCAGGAGAAGATAGATAACATAAGCCAAACCATGGGGGTCCATGAAGCCAAAGTTGAAATCCAAATTAGCTTGCAGTTTAGGAGGTCCAAATCAAAGCTCGTGCAGAAGTAAATAACAAATTGGCATCGAAGAATGATTGAACTCCACACACTTGAGCAAACATCCACCTTATGACAAGAACTTGCCCCCAATAAAAGAACATGTTAGAAGCGAAAAAAACAACATCATCCAATAACTTGTCAGGTATCAGCTATGTTAAATGTTAGAATCCTAAGCAAGACAATAGCAGAAAACCAACAACCTCAAGACCTAGCCAGAAAACAGAACCAGACCTAGCCAGAAAACAGAACCAACATTAAGCTAGAGATGCACTCAAATAAAACACAGAAAACTCTACAACATGTAGATAAAGAAAAAGATGGTTCATGCTAATTCGGTTCAATGAAAAGAAAAAAGA